GTAGAGCCTCTACAGCCAATTTCAATAGTTACGTGTTTTTCAGCTTTAAGAGAATTCTTGTGTCATTTTACAATATTGATGGTGCCAGCAGGGCTGCTAGGCTCCAGCCCAGTGACGATGACTCTGCTTCAGTCACACAAATGTACCTTATAAAAGGCACATGTGAAGTATGTGTAATAGGCAGTTACGATGACATGCTACTGATGAACTGAATGTGATTTCCCGACTTACAGAAATAAACCTGCAAAAACATCTTTCCAACTCGGTAAGGTAGACATGGAACCCCCCGAAACATTCCCTAGTCAAAACATAATGCTGTCTAATGAACCTAAAAATAACAGCTGACAAAACCATCAGCTTTTTAAGAAAACTAAACTTCAGAAAACACAGCCAACATCAACGCAGCCAGAAGAGGCACTGCTCCTGCTTGGCACAGCTTTGGCATTCAGAAGCCCTCCAGAAACTTTATGCCATCACCAGTGGGATGATAGTTTTACCCCACCAGTCTCATGCAACTTGGCCAAGCCAAACAGCTGACACCAACATAGCAAGCTGGAACATCAGACCCATACTTGTGCCTATCAGTAAGACATTTCTACACCAAACCTGGGAGACTTCCAAGAGCGTGTGTATCGATGCAGAAATTTATTAGCACTACCAGATTTTCACTTTCAGAGCAGAAATTTGGCAGTGCCAAGGTCACTTGGTTGCAGGAGATGGTGAACCGTCACCTGCATGGCAGGAGCATTGCCAGGGGTCCTGCAGCAATCTTCCAAATGCCACAGCACAGCAGCACCACAGAATAGTCTGCTGCAAGCTGCATATCCAAAATAAGAGCTTCCAGGTTCAGCAGATACCTCCTCAGACAGGTCCCTGAAGCAAAGTTCAAAGCCTCAGAATTAATTTTTGTCCCATCTCCTTCCCACAGAGGGAGGTTCAACACTTGCTCCTTCAGGACTCATGCTGGGAGCTCTGCACTCAAAACAGGGTACCCAAGCAAATATGGGCAACAGTGGAAAGCAGAAATGAAGGAAACCGTTTTGAACTTGGAGGTACAAGCAGTACTGCTAAAAATGAAAGTATGCTGGACAGAGTATCTGCTGTGTCTCCAAGGAGGCTACCCACAGCTCCAATAAACCTCTATGATAATGCTGATTTTATAACCCTCTCCTTCAACATCATCTACCCAGACATTCTATATGGAAGGCAGGAGACAGAACTGTCCTCAGCCTTCTCTTCCAGTTATGGAAATTACGAGGGGAAAGGGAAATCCTTTGTCTTTAGAGCTTGGCAGCAGCTAACCACCATCAACCCCAACAGCCACTGCTATGCTCGCTGTGCTGCAAACTCCTCAGGAGCTGAGCACTGCTCCGAGAGCACTGGTCGGACAAGATGACCTTCAGAAGTCCCTCCCAACCCCAACCACTCTCTTATGGCAGCTGGGCCAGCAACTGCCACACTTCTCCTGTGACAAGGACAGTGACCACGGTTCAGTGCAACACACTGTATATCTTGGGCAAAGTGACTCCCTGCACAACAGGAGGAAGATGAACTTCTACATCCACTTCCCCAGCTGGCCCAGTAAGCACTGCTTGGGAACTTCAGATGCTGAAGAGGCAGTCTGAGCTTCCCTCTCCTGCCTTCTTTGTGTAAAATTTCCCTGTGTTCCTTCTCATCTTGAAATGACTCTCCTTCTTCCCTTATGGCATACATCCCCTTTTAGCAGGGATGCATTCTCACTGGAAAAAAGCCTGACCTCAGCTACCACAAGAGGCTGCTCCCTTGCAAGCACCCTAGCTGCTGGTAAAACATATGGGAACGATTTTTTTCAGACTGTTTCGAGCAACACAGCCAAACAGCTCTATTGCACACACCCATACTCTTAATTCTGAGTATAGATCTCAGGGATTTCTACAGGTTTAAACACCTTATATCTGAAAGCATGACTATGTAAATATACTGAAGAAGTTACAATTCTACCACTGACTTTCCTTCCTTCAGACACCAAAAGGTAACACAAATCAATCAACAGCCTGAATTAGTTTTTAAACCCTTGGAAAACACTTCTCCTCTGTATTTAGAATGCAGTTGTACAATTACTTTAATAACTTCCAGTAATAAAAGCATTCTGGGGAGCAAGTTCCAGGGTTGACTCTTCCAGCCTAATCTTTACTCAGATCCTTTCTTTCTTTTTGGCTGATTTAGAAAACTGGGACATAGATGGAAATTAAGGCTTCTCTGGAGACAGGCACTTGTAATCCTATAAGAATAAAAGCTAAGAATATGAAAAATAGTAAGAAAGGGAAACTGGGCGGCAAGATGGAGAAATCATAATGCTGTTAAGTGACAGACAACAGCAGCATCAGCTGACCAGTGGGATCCTGGTGTTATCCCATACCTCACCTAATGCAGCAAGTCCTAAGAGGAGCACCTCTGTGGCAGCACTCTGGCAGTGTCCAAGCCAGCTGCCTCATTTTATTCCAGTGGGTATCACCCTACAGTGAGAACAGGCCACAATCAACATCTAGTTATGGAAAAGTTTGGGAGAAATAGTAATACAGGAGTTTTCTTTCTAATACCTTTCAGTTGTACACTACTGAAACAGCCAGATTGAAGACACTCCTGCCTTCAGTGCAGCAAGCTCTTGGTAATGCTGAGGAGCAACCTATACCTTTCTCACTCACCAGCCTTCCTCCCAAAACATGATAGAATGGTTTGTGTTGGAAGATACCCTAACCATCTTCTAATTTCAACTCCCTTGCCATGGGCAGTGACACTTCCCACCAGACCAGGCTGCGCGAAGCCCATCTTGGCCTTCAACACTGCAAGGGATGGAACGTCCACTGCTCCCCTGGGCAGCCTGTTCCAGTGTCTCAATACCCTCACAGTAAAGAATTTCTTCCTTACATCTCATTTCTATCAGCAGACTCATATCACTGACAAATGAAAGCAGAGCAAAGCAGGCTTTTTACCTGTGCCTTGCATCCAACTTCCTCTTTCCTCCACACACTACAACTTACTTTAACAAGAACAGTAATTCTCTCAGATAAGTCAGCAAATATTTTTGTAAAGAGCAGCTGCAGGATGCCTGCCTCACACAAATTAAATTACCCAGCTAGTGGCTCAATCCTGTGCCTTCAACAGACATTTTTTTGTGGTAGCTGGGCCAGGCCAAGTGCATTTCTGCAATTGTGCCTCATGCTCCCTATATGCCATTTATGTATGCTTCAGTGTGAGGAAGGGAAAATGTTTATACTTACGGGTGGGACTTTGGATGCAGATTAAAGTCAAGGTGCTATATTTACTGATCTTTTAAAGTTATATCAACATGTTGAAAGGGAGTAAGAGTTCTTAAGAAAGATCAAAGTCTGCATCCAGCAACCACAAATTAACATAAATACATGCAGAAATACTAACAGAGACTGGCAAAATTTACTTGCCTTTTCCCTGGAGCAAGTAATTTTGGCTAATAGGGGAGTCAAAACCATTAAAACTCTTCTTCACCTTTATGTCGGGCACGCTACACTACTTTGTGTCAGAGTGAATGACTCTTCAGATTAATTTTGCAAAGCTAGGCTAATACTACCATATTGCTCATGGCTTGCATGCTTTTGAAAGGCAAGGGCTACATTCTCTCCGGGGCGGAAGGGGGAAGGATAAAAAAAACAAAGCAATATTACTACTTAAGTCAGACTTTTTCAAAGCTAATCCTGCATTTCTTCCTTCTTATTGCACTTGACAGAACTTTTGTTGCCTGACAAATGAAAAGCTAACAAGCAGTAAGGTGTATGACCTTCTTTTATTTCACTAATTACTATTCCAACAAACAGATCACCTATTTTTCTTGTGGGACCATCAACAGCAGCACCGAGAACACAAGGGAAGTTATTTCATGAGGGCAAAGGACGGGTTCGCAGCTTAATCACAGCCTTGTAAAGCAGATGCCTGACCTGCATTTACAACCCTGGCAGTGCAACCGCTTCTGTGAGAGCTGCGATTAAAGCAGTCGCGCAGTCAGTCACCAAGAAGTCGCAACCCAGATACAATACAAGCTTTGCCAGCAGCCTGCGAGTACAACACACACAGAGAAGCCGCTGCGTTAACACCAGACACCTTATGTCTGTAACGCTGGGTCCACACCAGGTGGGCTGAACCATTTGGTAAAATATCACTGTATAAAATTCAGCTAACTTAGACCAGAATAGGAGCCAAGTTTTGACTTTCAGTGTATACCCTAACTAGCAAAGAGTCTTTGATTCGGTTTGCACACCCAACATGAGGAGATTGTCAAGATCCGTGAGATAATGGTAAAGTTCAAACTGCTTTCAAGACTTAAACTTTACTGCTTTGCATTTTGTATCGGAAAACTTGGTCTATACTTTAACAACATATATTTAAGAAACAGACCTTAAAAAAGTAGCTCTACTCCCACCATTTGGAGCCTCCCTTGCCCCGTGAGGCAGGAAAAGTAACCTCGCCAGGTTTCATGCAGGAAAAACCTCGAGGAGTGAACCCCCCCCCTCCCCCCGGGTTCAGGGGTGAGTACGCCGCGGCAGCAGGGGCGGCACGGGCAGAGGAGCATGGACCCGCGGCAGCGCCGGAGCCCACGGGCAGCCCGCTCCCCAAGGGGACCAACAGCAGCAGAGGGTGCCGCCGGGGGGGCGCGGAGCAGCGCTCTAATAAGCCCCAATTAGCGCCGAGCGCCTTCCCGACAGAAAGTCGGCGGCCTCGAGTTCCACCCCCGGTAACGGCCCGAAAGGCTGGTACTTCGGCGGCGGGAGCCCTCCCTCTCTCTCTCGCTCGCTCACGAAGTGCCGATGCCCGAGGGTCTGCTCTTGCAAACCCCTTGCAGGTCGAGGCGCTCAAGCGGGGGAGCACACGGCACTCTTCGGGAGACCCTTGCCGCTCTGCTGCTGGCTCCTGCCCCACAAAGCGACTCCACAAAGCTGAAGGAGAAGGAAGGACGAGAGGAAAGGAAGACCCCACGGGCCCGCGCTCACCTCCGCCAAGAAGTTGTCCATGGTGGCCCCTCGGCCCGCCCGAGGGTGCGCAGCGCCAGGCCCCAGCCGTGCACCATGTGCCGCTGCCTCCCGGCCCGGCTCGGCTCGGCCCCACCGAGCCGCCTCAGCCACCGCGCCGCTCCATCGCGCCCCAGCGCCGGCACCGGCCCGCAGCCTTTGTCCGCACACTCCCTCAGAGCCGGTCCCGGCAGCGCATAACCACCGCTGGGAGCCGGAGGAGGGGGCAAGAAGAAGAAGAAGGAGGAGGAGGAGAAAGAAGAAGGCTCCCGCCGCTGCACGCTCCTGCCCGGGGCCGCCCCGTCCCGTCCTGGCGGGGCAGGGGCAGAGGCGGAGCCGGGGCCGAGCCGCTCCCTGCGCCGAGCTCAGCCGCGCCCCCGCCCCGCCCCGGCCGGGCAGCGGGAAGCGTCCCCGGGTCCCTCGCCCCCCTTACGCGCCCCGTCCCGTGCCGCCGCTGCCCTTCGGTGCGGCGCCCGCGGGGTCCCTGAGGCTCGTTTCTGTCCGGCCGCTGCTCGGGGCACGGGGGCACGCGTCCCAGCGCGGGTGGAACGATCACGGGGTGTCACGGGAGCGGGGCGCACGGGCGGCCGCCGGTGTGAGGGTGTGCTGCGCTCCCGTGTTTTGCAACACAAAGCCATGCAAAGCACCGCCACCCGGCGAAAGTTCCTGGAGAAGTTAAGCGTCGTTAAAGAGCATATACCTACCTGCAGGCTCCCGTGGCATACAGCAAGCTCTTGCTTAAGTTTGTGGCAAATTTGTGTACGGGCTCTTGTCCTGCGTTCCTTCACTAAATACATACTGCAACAGCCATTGTTCCACAACGAGGGAAGGGCACGGATTAAAATAGCCTTCGGGCTTCATTCAGTCTCTTATTCTATAGGTTTTCCAGTCCTTCACATTTCTGTGGAGCAGGTATAAATCGTTCATTTTTTGGAAACACTTCTTGTTCATCATTCTGCCCTCACCCTATATTAAGTAGCAGCACAAAGAACACAGCAAAGGAGAATCAAATTTTGTAGCTACAGGCCTATTTCATTCACATTACAGAAAGAAATGCACAAAAAATTAGCCAGAAAGAAAGTGAATGCAGAATTCAGTCTTTTGGTCACAGGCAGGATCCTAACATTGCTTTGGGAGCTTGAGCATGTAAGTGGTGATAAGGGAAAGCAGCCCTTCACATCAGAAATAATCACAAGGGTGCGACTCTCATTTCTTTAAAGTGTCACAAGAGCAATGTGTATAGCATGACAAGCACTGCTAGAAAAGCTAGTTTAAGAATACATACACTACACAAGGAAAAACATTCTTCTTTCACCTTGGTGTCCAAAAAAACCCCAAACAACTGAACAAGAGTAGAGCAGGTAGAAGAGTTTTGGTTTTGGGACAGGCGATGTCCACAACAGCTCCTTGCAGCAAAAGCAGGAATATTTCCCACCTTGCTGTAGCTCAGCAGAGCCCTTGGGCAGCATACCTGATTGCAGTTTGCCAGGCCCATCCAGGAGACATCCTGCAGCCTCATGGGGACTGCTGGATGGGGGGAATCGCTTCTCTTCCCAGCCCCCCCCCCCCCCCAGTCTTTACACCCAGGTGTACAGGTTGAGCCTTCCTATGATTGCTTTGAAACTCAGCTTTTACAGAGGATTATAGACCTATAGAATGGTTTGGGTTGGAAAGGACCTTAAAGCTCATCTAGTTCCAGCCCTCCTGCCATGGGCAGGGACACCAGACCATGTTGTTCAGCTTGCACCTGAAATTGCCTGTCTACACAGTACTGACTCAGTGCCGTTAGCCTACATAGTTATTCCACCATAGACTATATGGTATAAATCCTGGTGCAGAAGCTCTGCAACTGTATTCCAAGCTACTGTGCTTCCAAACTTACTCCAGGGGAACATCCTTTTTTTCCACCATCACAGTGCCAGAAAGCTTCCTCACTCAGACAAGCTCTAATCTGGGGAGGGCTGAGTCAGATCAGAGGTTTTTATTAAGTTAGTTTGATTTATGATTCAGTACTTTCTTTGACACTGTATTATTGGAATGTAACGTGCATATCTGGCTACTGCATTGCACGTACTTGGGTCTATGAAGCGCAACATCATAGGAATTCATGAAAACTTTGAATCCATTTTCCAATAAAAGCAGGCTGTGTATTTTTAAATGAGAATTTCAGTAAATTGCAAGAAACCATTACCAATAGAATAGGACCAGATTTATGCAGCCTAAAAATACATTGCAGAAAGAGTGAGTATTCTCTTGTGGCATGGATATATTGCAAAAGACTATAAAACTCTAAAGACTTTTTGTAGAATTTAGAACAACTACAAAGATGCTTGTGCAGGACGGTTCTAGGAAGAGGGTTTAGGGAAGCAGGGAGGAAGGGAAGAGCAGTTTGTACAGTCACTCCAACAAACTTCTCCCTTTGCTCCTTCTTTGTCTTCTTGTGGCAGTCCTGCTGACAGTTTGCAAGCACTAGCATATGTATTTCAGAGGAAAGGGGTTTTGAAACACGGCATTTCCTTTTCCTGTTCTGAAAATGACCCTGAACTAGTCTTTACTCATTTTATGCAATTGTTTTGGAATTTGGAAAACCCCACAGTTAAGTTGTATGAAGCTCCATACATCTACAAACATCTGGGGACTTGGCCAGTCCTCCACAGCTCCAATTTTCTTTTAATTGGTAGAAATTCCTTCACTGATTGTGTGCCTAAGGTAAATTACTTCCTTTTGAAGCTGTTCATATGTGTGCCGGCTCAGTTTTGAGTCCAAGTGAGGACCAGAAGTCTCATCTCAACCTCCACTATGGGACCATAGAGGTCTCCCCACTTTGTGCAGGTGGTTGGTAGCAAGGCAGCTGGCCAGAGAGCCCCTTTCCCTCAGCCTCTCTCTTGCCCTGTGTGGTACAGCTTTGGCATTTGATAGATTGGCTTTACTCTCAGCTGGTCTGTTTTAAGATTCCTCACTTAAATTCGCTACATTACATGGGCCAGCTCACATCTTCACCCAGCTTATGGAAACCTTTCTTCCCTCTACCAGTAGTTGCTGAAGTCTGTATTCGACCACGATGTCTGACAAAAGACAGACATCTCTTCCGTTCTTAGCTCCAAAGTAATCTTAGTAGCTGCAACTTTTCTAAGTTCCTGGACTTCCAAAACAGATTTTAACCACTCCTGTCTCTATCAACAAGTGGAAATCTTCCATAGCATACAGCTGTCTCCATTTCTGCTCTGGAGGCAGAACCAGCTTTCTGATTGAAGCCTAGGTGTCTATAAATTGTATGTTTCTCCTGAGCTGTGTTTCTCCACAGGGAATTTCCACAGACCAAATGTGCAGGACTTTTTAAAAAAGATTTATTGTGCCTGCATTTATTACAAAGTTCATCGACATGTTTGCATCCCAATGAACTAGTAACTCATTCAGTACCACGAGCATGCTTGGTCTAGATGTCCATTTTTCAAAGTAACTTTGCTGCCTGTTCTCATCTACCAAAACTGTCAGGGCACTGTGGGACTGGTGGCTCACCGAGGCTGGGAGCATCATGAGCTTCCCCCATGGGTGATAGCAGGGCTGGGAAGCTAGGGCTCATCCCACCACCCCAGCTGGGGGGCACCGGGGCATAGGCAGGTGGGGGCACTGCTGGGGGGGGAGTGGACAGGGACAGTCAGGGCTGGTGATGACCTTGGGGCCATGACAAACTGTGTTTGAAACCAAACAGGTTGTGCTGTTGTGTGTTCCTGTCTTTACCGTGTCTTACTGCCCATGGTGAAGGTTTCTGTGCATTTCACAAATCCTGCTCCCTGTTCAGTAAGCAAGCACTCATTTGATTGCACCAACCTTGGTAAAAAAATCTGTGAGAGCCATCTTTGTACTAAAAAGCAGGAGTTTTCCTTTCCCTACTGACTGCACTAGAGTAGGTTATCTGCCCTACCCCACGGCACTGCTACCCCTTCGTCAGACATGTGGATTGTATTCAGCCAAAGAATTAAATTGTGTATTCAGTTAATTCAATCTTATTAATTAAAAGGATCCTAAGTTAAAGTTTTCTTCTCAGCAAAATGAGGCAGTGTGTTGCTTTGCTCACAGCTCAAGGCCTCATTTCATCCACTACTACCCCTAAAATTTGCTCTTGGATTTTTCCCCTTGGGGTCTTTGTCAGTGGCATACTTCATTTTCAGAGTGGTTTTGTACATGGTCTGCATTTCTGGTAAGAGTTCCTATTTCTTTAAACCAAGTCCAAAAAAGGAGTTTAACCACCACTTGTGTTTATTCTTCAGGGCTGATACTGCACTTGTGAGCTTCAGTTAGGTTTCAGCTAATTAACTTTTAGTAGACCAGATGTTCAGCATTGACTTTGTACCACAAAATCTCAGAGTTCAAGGCATTACTGGAGAAGCAAATAATTCTGTAGAGGGTGACAGTGTACAGGCAGACAACTAGCACAGAGCATAGCTTGCTACCACACAAGTTTTGAAGGATACAATGAAAGAAAAGATTGCTCCAGCCAAAATTGTTATGATCTGTGCAGGGAAAAAAAAACAGATTCCTTGCATTCTTGTCCATCCTAACTCCTTCACAAACATGTGCTTGGGTTTCAAAGCCAGTTCCAGGTCATGGTCCTAGCTTTCAGAATAACTAATGGATTCTCTTTGCGTGAATATCCAACAACAGGGCTGGACAGCCTTCCTCTTCTTCTGGGTCCTGCTTGTATCCAGCCAGCTCTCCCCATGGGCTATTCTGGGAGCTGAGTTTCTGACCAGTAGTTGTGAACTCTGAGAGATGTGAGGTGCTTCAGCATTAGCTGCAGTTATGCCTGATCTACGTCTTGTCAGGATGAGCCTAGCCCTTAAGCGTGACAAGCAATGGATTAAATGAATTATTCATGCTCACAGATGAACTTTAGTTATTAACCTCTAGGAGTAATAAATAAATAAAAAGTGAAGAGCTGGCAGATTTTAGTAACAGCTTCACTTATAGCTACTGTAACATAAAGTCACTTCAACATTTTCTTTTTAAGTAAACAACCTCCCAGTAGGGATGAAGAGAGAAAGCTGGGAGACGTTTTCTTGGCTTCTTCAGTCTCCCTCTCTCTTCTGGATCCCAACAGCTTCTTCCATCACTTTGACCTCCTTACGCTCCAATTCCCTTGATTGTCTTTTCAGTGCAAGTACTTTTATGTTGTCCTGGAGAAGAAAAAAGTAACAACTGTAGAAGTCCCACACAAA